CCTGGCTATCTGAGAGCTGGAAAGTGAGTGTGACCCCGGGTGAGGTAATGGGTGCAGAGTCCGGAGAGATGAATAAGGAAGAGAGAGGAAAACTCTTCAGGAAAGGTTAAGTTCCTTAGACCCAATAAGCAAACCTAAACAACCTTCCTGACTCCATCTTCCAGGCTATGTGGGGGGAGCTCAAGGGCCTCTCCAGTCTCTGATCAAATATTGACCCTGTGCACTCACTGGCTGGAGTTCAGACTAAAGGGCCAGCAGCACCAGAGAGCCAATGTTTGCGAAGTAATTACTGCTGCAGTAATTGCCTTGTAGGTCAGATTGTGAAACAACCAATGGAGCCTTCCGGTCCTTCCTGGTGGGGCCAGGCCTTGGGGGAGATACTTAGCAGGGAGGGAGCTGTGCGAGGAAATGTAAAGAGGCTGGAAACGTGGTCCAGCTGCCAGTGAGAAGGCAACTGAAGAGCATCCGTGGCCCTTCGCCCTCCTCCTTCTCCTCTTAACTGCTCCTCCAAGTAATCTAAGCTCTTGATAGCCAAACAGGCTTCAACATCAGGCCTTGTCCTGGCCGGCTTGTCGACCAATTTCCACTTGAAGACCAAGAACCTCTCCTCTCCCTAAAATGCCCTCAGAAGCCCTTTCTAGTGACTGAGCTGGTTTCCAAAAGAACATAAGGCCAGATCAAGCCTGTGTGTGCCACAAGGTCTAAAGCAGTGGTCGGTAAACGGCGGCTCTCACATGTGGCTCTTTGGCCCCTTGAGTTTTTAGCAAAGGCCAGCTTAGGAGTACCTTAATCAAGTTAATAACAATGTACCTACCTATATAGTTTAAGTTTAAAAAATTAGGCTCTCAAAAGAAATTTCGATCGTTGTACTGTTGATATTTGGCTCTGTTGACTAATGTGTTTGCTGACCACTGGTCTAAAGCAGCACAGTCCTATACAACTTTCTGGGATGGCAGATGTTCTGTGTTTACTCAATACCTAGCCACTAGTCACTAAAGCTACTGAACATTTGCTATGTAGCAAGTGTGACCAAGAAACTAAATTTAATCTTATTTAGGTGAATTGAACTTAATATTAAAATTAAAAATTTTAATATTTTTAATTTAAACTCATGTGTCTGGTCACTACTGCATTGGAGACAAAGGTCAAAAGCCTCCTCCATCACCAGCACCTCCCAGTGGGCGGGAAGAGGAGCTGGGTTCAGTGAGCAGCCCCTGTGTGTGGAGGAGACAGATTCACTGGGTCTGAAGGCTCGAGGCAGAAAATATGGGGAGAGAAGAAGGACTGGGGCCAAGTAAAAAGGGCCTTATCCGATTAGAAAGTCTTATCCTGGTGCCCATGGAAGGATTTCAGGGGGGTGTAAATGACCAAAAAGGCTATTAGAATTATGTACGTATATTCATGCATTGGTCTGGGGAGAAAGTCTTGCTTTCATTAGAAGCATAAAAGCTTCCCTGATCCCAAAAATAAAATAAGATAAAATAACTTACTGATCAGTCAGATAAAACTTTACTTCTTCAGGGAAGCCTGCCCTGATCCCACAGGATAAGGTTTCCCTATAATATGTCTCTGGTACTTTTATTTGTAGCGTTTGGAATAGTATAAAAGAATATATGTATTTTCACTAAAATCTGTCTTCCCTCACTAAGCTAGAAGTCCCATAAAGGCAGTAACCAGATCTGCTCTGGCTCATCAATAAATCTCCAATTCCTGGCATACTGCCTGGGACATAGAAGTAAGACTCTTAAGACTGGATAGATGGAGGATAGATGAATGAATGGACAGACAGACAGGAGGAAGCAGGCATAAATGAATAAACAAAGAAATAAATTAGGAACACACTTTATCCTGATAACTATAATTCCCAAAAAACAATCTAATTTCCGAAACTGGATGGAGGTATGTGGCTGTATCACTCCAGGCTGCTGTCACCAATCAAAACCATATGGAGCCCGGCCAGTGTGGTTCAGCGGTTGAGTGTTGACCTATGAATCAGGAGGTCATGGTTCAGTTCCCTGTCAGGGCACATGCCCAGGTTTCGGGCTCAGTCCCCAGTAGGGGGTGTGCTAGAGGCAGCCAATGGATGATTCTCTCTCACTGACAGTTTCTATCTCTCTTTCCCTCTCCCTTCCTCTCTGAAATCAATAAAAATACATATTTTTTAAAACATATGGACATCTTTGTTCCCCTGCCCAAGAAGAATGCTCTTTCCCTCCTCTTCCATAGCATGTGGCTTATATTTCAATCCATTATTTATTTCTTTTTAAAAATATATATTTTTTTTATTGATTTTTTACAGAGAGGAAGAGAGAGGGATACAGAGTTAGAAACATCAATGAGAGAGAATCATCGATCAGCTGCCTCCTGCACACCCCCCACTGGGGATGTGCCCGCAACCAAGGTACATGCCCTTGACTGGAATTGAACCTGGGACCCTTCAGTCTGCAGGCCGACACTCTATCCACTGAGCCAAACCAGTTAGGGCTGGAGCAAAGCCATTCTGAGGACAGCCACCTGGGAACCACATCCCGACTCCCAACTCACTCCCGTCCTGCCTCCGTGGCAAGCTCCAGAGAGAGCCTGTGGCTCACAGAACTCTGCACACTGGCACAGGCCAGGGCATGAAGCAACTCTTCAGCACAAAGTGGAGCCAAGGAGGGGAAACAGGAAAGCAACAGACCATTCACCCACAGCCCAGCATCCTTGGCTTCTGCTAATACCACTAGCCAACCTAGCGGGTAACTCACTACAGACAACCACGTGTCGGGAAAAATACGGATTCGCTCATTTAATCCTCCCAATAACTCTATTGGGTGGGTACTATTTGAATCTTCATCCTACAGATGAGAAAACAGAGCCCAGAGAAGTTATGGAACCTGTCTGGAATTACACGGTGACAGTACCAGAAACCAGTCCCAGGCAATGTCCCCAGGAACGAAGCTTTGAGCCATTCTCTCATACAGCTCCTCAGAAAACTGAATTCCAAGGACCGCAAGTGACCAGAGACAGAGTCAGCAATGTCATGTGTCCTTTCTCTCTAGAAGCTACCATCTTAAAATCACTGGCCCTGATAAATAAGAAAGGCTTTCCCGAATGCACGCCCCTAAGTCATCATGCCATGAGCTTTGTAAAATGGGTTCACAAAGATGCTATGTTTGGCTCAAAGGTTAAATTCCAAAGAACCATCTCAAACCCTCCCCCAACGGCAACTACAGGGTGATGATGACACAGTGTGCAGGCCTGGCCATGCTCATGGCTAGGGCCAGCACATCACACAAGCCACTCCATGCCATGTGTCCTCTCCCGACACAGGAAATGAGCCTCTGGGCCAGGGAGAAGTTGGGGTAGCAGCATTCCTTTCTTGTTAGGTTCTGTAACCAGGAAGGGGGTAGGGGAACAGAACAGAGAGAGGGGAAGAAAAGTCCTGTTTGAGAGTTTCTGCTGACTCTCAGACTCCTCTGGCTCATCAATGAGTCCTTTCAGGGTTCCCTCTCCCCCAACAAAGTCATCATTTCCTGTCCAGCACATTACACCCATTGATGGGGTCTCAGCGAATCCCACCAGTTTATGCCGGAAGGATCCGAGGAGATTGGACAGGAACTGGGGAGGGAAGAGGAAGAAGGCAGGAGGGTAAGGAGTGGCTTTCAATCCCCATTCAGTGGAATATTCAATCCCATATTGGTGGCTTAAGAAAAGATTTGTAATACAGGAAACTGGCTCTCCTCATAGGTTATATAATAAGAACAATGGGATAAAATCAGGTACTTGGGGGCAAATATGCAAGCCTGGCCTTTCCAAGATGACTCATCACCAAAAGCCTACAAAGGAAGGAATAGGCCTTGGTTGTGAGGGCCAGGGATGGGTTTCTCTCTGTTGTGTTTTTATTGCCCTAAACTAGGTTCAGAGTCCCGAGGAAGAATCTAGAATCTCTCAGCTTTCCCTTCCTTATATGGGAAGGATGGCTGCTCAGCTCACAATGATTCTGCCTTGTCTGGTACCTATGCCATATATAAAGGTGGGCTCCCTAGTGGCCACATCTGTGCTACATCATACAAATTGGTCCAGAGAGGGCACCTGACCAAGTTGGGCCAATCAGCTTCTTCCCTGGAATTTTTCAATTTAGATGTGGGAGACAGTCTCTGGTGTTGGGAAACACAAGATATGAAATTCAGGAGCTGTTGACAGGATATGAGGTAACAGAAGCTAAAGGCAGCGCTCAGAGAGAAGCAGAGATAAGACAGAGGGAGAGTAACCCTGGTTTCAGATGTTCCTTAGAACCACTGCCTCAAATCACCTCTTTACCATTTGGTTGACTGAATAAATTTCTCTGATATATCCTTCTCTTTGTCTAAGCGAATATAAGTGTAAAACTATCACTTGTAACCCAAAGAGGCCTAACTAGATTAGTTGGTATCAAGAGAGGTGTTTGCAATGGATTTGTGGGATCCATATCAGCATCCCCGTGTGACCACACCTGTGTATATTAGAGAGACACACATACTGTCCACATGTACAAATAGGACAGCAGAGCCTTATTCGGTGAGACAGACACAGTGGCATGCTCAGTTTGTGTCTGTAGTTCAAGAAATTACTTGTTTTCAGTTTCGGTCTTTTCTGTATGTTTGCTTTTCTTTGCTTTCAATGATGTGGTGGCTTGTGTCTCACTCTGGATGTTTATAGACATGTCTGCTCATGTACATAGCACTCCCAGCCATCTTCCTGCCTCTCCACCCTCATTCCTACCAGCCAGGCAAAGAAGAGTGACAAAGCATGACTGTTAAGACCATCTGATGAAGTCAACAAAGCCCCAAGCGTTTGCCTGCAGTGTCCTAAACGGAGCCAAGCCCAGCTCGACCATCCAGGTTCCCCCGTCTGTCCCTCTGCTCTGACCTGAGCTCTAGGGGGGTTCCCCAGATGAGTGAGAGCATGGGAAAGGCCAGCCCACCAGAAACTAGGGCCACAGAGAGAACTGGGCACAATTTGAGCTCAGACCAACTCACCTGCAGGTCAAAGAACTTGCTGTACCTCCGGTAGATGGTCTGGGAGGTGGAGTCAGACCAGGTCACGTTGATGATGTATACCTGTGGGGTAAAAGTAAGAGCAGGTGAGTGGGTAACAGAGGCTGGGCTTCAAGTGGTACCAGGCACCATTTAACATGACTGTGGGTGCTCCGTGCTCCGTGCTCAGGACCATTCTTTTTCTCATCTCTGTCCCCAGGACCCAGTGCGGCATCAGGTACATGTCAATGCTACACACATATGTCTAAATATACACACAGACACACACACAACTAGGAGACCGCAGCATTTCAGACCTGACTCCTCTCTATCCTTAAGTCTTAGCTCAGTGCACTTCAGCCTGGCACAGAGCAGGCACAGAGCGGGCGCTCAGAGAACATTCTGCTCTGTTGAACAACCAGGCTGACCCTCTGCATGACAAGTGGATTTGCAGGAGAGATGTTGGCACATGGAAGATGGGTAAACTTTTCAGAGATGAAGGTATTTCAGGACTCCATTCCCAATGTCACCTCAGGTCCCAAGCTCAGTCTGGCTCTCCAAGGCCGCTGCCTCGGCGGCTCTGGTAGGTTCCCTTGCCTAGGAGGTGGCTGGAGGAAAGAAAGTCCTCTCCCTACACAACCTGGCCGCTGCTCTCACCATTTTTATCCCTTTCACCAGAACCCACACCAAACGCACACCCTCCTGGGCGAGGCGTCAGTTAGGGCGAGGGGATCCCCTCACACAACCTCAAGGCTTCTCTGCTGACCGGAAATCACACAAACTCATATTCCCAGGCCTCTGTCTAGCAATTCTGAATCGGTGGTCTGGGGGGGCACTCTAAGAATGAGGAGAACAGAGAAGCTGGGCGTCTTGGCCCCTGTGGGAAGGAAGGAATGTTAGCAAAGAGGAACAGCATTTAGACACTTCGGCTTCAGGGTAGCTGACACCACCATGAAGAAGGGCTGTCTCAGTCTGCTTGGGCTGCTCTAACAAAATACTATCCACAAGGCCGCCTACACTACAAACACTTATTCTCACAGTTATGGAGGCTGGAAGTCCAGGATCAAGGTCCCTGGTGAGGACCCACTTTCTGGCTTGCAGATGGCTGCCTTCTTGCAGTGCCCTCACCTGGTGGAGGGAGGGGGCTCTGGTCTCTTCCTCTTCATCTAAGTGCACTAATCCCAGCATTAAGGCTCCACCTCATGATCTCACCGAAACCTAATCACCCACAGGCCCAGCTCCATACCGTCACCTTGGGGACTAGGGTTTCAAGGTATGAATTGGAGGAGGGACACAAGCATCCAGATCACAGCCAGGGTTTTGCACACAGGGGTGAGGCTTTCTGTCCGGCTTCTCCGTTAACAGCCAAGGAAGTGAGCTCAGAAAACAGTCCCTTCTTCCCTCTAACCCCTAAGTCAGAGTTAGCCTCGTGCAGGGTGGCGTGTTTTTTCTGAAATGCACCCAAGGAGAGGGCAACAAAGCAAAGCAAATAGACCCAAGTGATACCAGCCCTAGAAAGGGCATTTATAGCATGTTTTACGCGATCCTGATAAGAAAGAACATAAAGTAAAAGGCCATCCCTAGCCTCACAAGCCCAAAATAAACTAATGACCATTATTATAATTAAATAGATAAGGGTATGATGTGTTTTATATCCTGCAAACATATAGCTCATACAATAAGTTGTAGAAACCATTTAGGTACCGGTTACCACATGCCAGCACAGCGAAAAACATTCATATGCATTGGCTCCTTTGATCTGCAGTTCAATGAGGTCGCTACCACTGTTATCCCCATTTTGTACAGGAGGAAGCCATGGCTCAGAGAAGCTAAGCAACTTGCCCAAAGTCACACAGGCTGCAAAATACAGAGCAAAGGATTTAAACCAGAGCGTAGCTGAGTCCAATCCCCATGCTTTTAACCACATGGACTATCTATGTGTAGATTTAGGAATGTGGATATTTAAATCAAACTACTTAATCAGAACTGAATGACATCTTTTTTGAAAAATGCTTTTATTCATTTCAGAGTGGAAAGGAGAGGGAGAGAGAGAGAGATAGAAACATCAATGATGAGAGAGAATCAATTATCGGCTGCCTCTAGGGATAGAGCCTGCAACTGTGACCTCCTGGTTCATAGGTCGATGCTCAAACACTGAGCCATGCCAGCCCGGCTGAATGACATCTTTTTCAATAAAGTTCTAGTTGGTCTGAAGAGTCTGATCACCCCTTGTTCAGGGGGTGAGCCTAACGGACCATGGTGGAGTCGTGTAAATTCTGAGAGCCTGAAGCCAGACAGAAGTCAACGGTTAGGAATGCTACAAAACCAGACCAACACAAAGGAAACCCTCATATACAACCAGCTAACTATGGCAGGATGCTCTGGAATTTTCACAGGGGTTATAACCCACCCTCCCACCCCGCACTGACTCTCAGCTCCTTGACACTCAAAACCTGCCAGCTGCATCTGCCCTTCTCAAGACCCTGGGCAGGGAGCAGATGCTGTGCACAACCAGGTGCTGCCTTCCTGACCTCTGCCCAGGTGGATGCAGCTTTTGGAGGTCCCACATGGCCCTGTCCTCCCAGGAGAGAGACTGCACTTGCCTGCAAGCCATTGGACAGCAGCCTATCTCCCTGGTCAACCAAGCAGGGCCCAAAGGAAGAGGTGGTACAACTCACAGGGTAGGATCAGAGCCTGCCTCCCTTGGAAAAATCCTTCCCTTTTTACTCTTCAAGATACTTGAAAAGTCACAGAGTGTCATCTAGGTCTAACCCTTGACTTCAACCCACACAAAAGACAAGCCTGTGAGACACAGCCAGAGGACAGGGGTGAGGGGAGAGCTGTCCATGTGACCCCTGTCCGCCACAGCCAGCAGGACAGGACAAGCCCATGCTTCTCCTCAAGCACATTTCTCTACTTGTTGGGCAAAGACTTGCCTTTGCTAAAGGGAGGGTGAGATGAGGGGTGGAAGAGGGTTAAAGAGGGATAAATGGTGACGGTAGGAGACTTGACTTTGGATGGTGCACACACAATACAATACACAGACGAAAACCCATGTAATTTTATTAACTAATTTCACCCCAAAATTTTCAATCATTAAATAAAAAATAGAATTGTTCCTGCTAACATCTTGTACTTCCTCAGGGCATGAGGGTAACTCCCGTGTGGTGATGGGAAATGAACCCATACTTCCAGGTTCTCCCAAACCTCTGGGATTTGCCAAAGGCCTCGGAGCCCGCCCTCCTAGACAACCTAAATCCTGAGGCCAGACTCCAGGTCCCTTTCTCTCACGTGAGCAGGAGGCACGTCTGCTTTCTTCCAAACCTTGGACATCCGAGATCATCCCTGCAGATGGACCATGGATACACAGAATTCCAGCTTAACCTACACTCTTCCCGCCCGCCTCCTCCCCTCACCAGACTTTCTCAAGCCTCCCTGAATGGGTGCTGCCGGATGGGAAACCTCAGGGATAAACTGTAGAGAAAGCAGGTGGCAGGGAAGGGGGACAGGGCGGAGGTCATCTGAGAAAGCCAGCTCTGTTGACTCGGGCCCAGATAAACGTCTCTGGTCACAGGAACGCCCGAGATAACATTACCCGGCAGCTGTGTCTCCAGAAAGGTTTGCAATGAAACATCCTGCTTCCACACACACGTTGGGGTTACGTTTCCCGGATGGAGTTTCCCTTGCCTTCTGGATTTAAAAAAACACACCCATGGATTCTATTTCCCCCGTCTCTGGCCATCTAGACAGATGGCAGGCATCTAGGAAGCCTCGCTGTAGACCAGCAACTGCATCCCACTTCCCTGGAGAGGAGGTCCCGGAGTCTCGGGTCCTCCTGCGCCGCTCAGCCTCTGCAGGGAGGATTTCCACCGCAGACACCGCGATGGAAACTCCTGCCAGACAGACACCCGCACGAAGGCGCGCTCCCACCAGCCCACCCACCCCAAGGCCGCCTTCCATCTGCTCAGCTCATTAAGCCCAGCAATGTCTGAGGCTTCCGAGACTTCCACGGCTTCCAAGTCTTGCTCCTTGCAACGAGAGAGCAGCCTTGATGCAAATCAGACCCTCACCTCAGCTCAACTCCAGCGCATGGAGAATGAAGCCCGGCCCAGTCCCCGCGGAGGGATGTCCACCATCGGACCAGGGCTGCAAACAATTAACGTCACAGAGCTATGGCCCAACCGGCCCGAGCAGGCCTACGACCAGCCTGTGCTTAATTAGCGAGTCCCGATGTTCCACTTCGCCGAAGGAGAGTGCAGTTAGGGACAGGAGGTAGGAACTGTGGCGCTGTGCTCAGTTTCATGAAGGAAGGCCTTCTTTTCCCTGGGTCCCATCTGGCCGGCCCTGGCCCCGGGCCAAATGTTAGCTTACAGATAATCTTGTTTCACCTGCTCACACCGCCTCCAGGCGGGATCAGCCGGCTAGGAGCAGGGCTGTTGATTGGGGGAACAGCCCCCACGTCGAACCCGGACGTGGAGGGCAAGCCCCACCCCAGTGTGCACCTGCACAGGTTGGCTAAGGGTTAATGACCAGGTGATCAGTCCTCAGGTCCCCCTCCCCACGCTCCCTCTGGACTTCATGTTGATGGAACAGCCGCAGGGTAAGGGAACCGGAGAGAAGCTCAGGGAGGGGCGGGGGTGTGCGCCGAATGCTCCTCCCAGAGCCACGAGTCCAGCAGTCACCTCTCGGACAGGCGCTGCAGCTGCAGACCATTTGGCCCTCCTCTGGGAAAAGAGGCTTCTTATGGGCACACGGAGGAGGGGACAGACATCAGGCTCCTATCGGACGCCTTCGAGAGTGCCATGGGTCCTCATCACACTCAGCGCCTGCCTCTGTTGGCAGGAAGCACTGTCCTCGATTGTTTATTAATATTTCATTTGGAGCGCAGAGGGTAGGCAAGAGGGTTGAAGAAGAAAGCTCCATCTCGCTGGTGCCGCCATTTATCACTCCACAGCATGGCGATAACCGTGGTGACCTCACTTTGGGCTGTGGTGAGGACTGCGTGAGCCAACCCTGTGTGTCTCCCCACTAGCATGGAAGCTCCCTGAAGGCAGGTCGTGGCATGATCATGGCAAATCACACTT